ATCGGGACAGGGAAGGAACATGGTCCCAGTCTCAAATTTAAACCGACTCTTAATAATTTTTTTATTGTATGTTTTAAAATTTAATTAAACGGAAAAAATGAAACAGAAATGAAGATATTTTAATGCCAGCCCTAATAATTGATCATATTTTAGATATAAGCAGAAAAGTCTTTGAAATGAGGGACACATATTTTGTCGAATTTTTGTATTTATTGTTTTTTTTTTGCTTATGTAAAATATGAGGAAAAATAAGTCTTATGCCATCCAAACAAGTTTTTGGACGATAACTGTCATAGTGACAAGATGCCCTAATTAATAAAATATTAAGAAGAAAAAAGTTAGGAACATAAGTACAACAATAGAAAAAAGATTAGAACCTTCGTTGCAGTTGAAATATGGTGAATCAAACACAACCGTCGTGTGAATATAATTGCCTTTTTCAAAACGTAAAGAGTGTCTCCAATGGTAATGTACATTGCATATAAAATTACAACATATGCAAAAACAGACATTGTCTACAAAAATTTCTTCAAGGAAACTTAGGTGGGACTCTATCTAGTTGATGTGATAAGAAAAAATAAACACTGCGAAGAGATTTGTCAAGATATAAATGTTTTGTTAGATGAATGTTTTTAAAAACTAGCACAACCTAACATTATTAACAGACAAAGTCCCTGTTTGGTTTAGATTAAAATCTCAAGTCATAGTGAAGAATTAATTTTAATACACATTTCATGAGACTCACAACTTTTCAACCACACATTTCATCAACTTTTGCCAAAATCTACTAAAAATTTAATTTAATTTTCTACCAAATAGGGGCAAAATAAACAATGATGCTGTTCCAAAGAAATTTTTGTTTTGATTGTTAATCATTGTACAACCAAAAATAGGAAAGTGCTCACGTATAATACAATAAATGTTTATAAAAATTAATTTCAATAACTACATTAATGTTAGGAAAACAGTGATCAAAGAGTTTTCTCATGGCATTCAAAATGTGCAAGAAATCATTAGCAAACATTCTTCTTGCAATTCTATTTGCAACCATGAATCTGGGTATATTTGTGGCTGCAGTTGATCCACCAGCAGCAGCAGGAGGAGGAGGAGGNAAAACAGTGATCAAAGAGTTTTCTCATGGCATTCAAAATGTTCGAGAAATCATTAGCAAACATTCTTCTTGCAATTCTATTTGCAACCATGAATGTGGGTATATTTGTGGCTGCAGTTGATCCACCAGCAGCAGGAGGAGGAGGAGGAGGAGGAGGAGGAGGAGGAGAACCCATTCTTGAGTTGTACATGCACGACATTCTAGGAGGCAGCAACCCGACTGCTCGGCCGATCACTGGCTTGTTAGGCAACATCTACAGTGGGCAAGTGCCCTTCGCAAGGCCTCTCGGGTTTGCGAAAGATGGTGTAGCCATTCCAAATGCCAATGTGCTATCCCGATTGTAAATGCCAATGGCGTACCTTTATGGACTGGCTTAGCGGGTACAACTTTTGCCGGTATCCCCAATGGCTCAAACAACAATGGTAATTTCGAATGACTAAAGACCTATCAGAGATTTGATAAATATCNGACAACTTTTGCCGGGATCCCCAATTGCTCAAACAACAATGGTAATTTCGAATGTCTAATGTCTTAACCTATCATTTTTTTGTAAAATATCACACTGGACCAACTCATCTAAGAGGTTAAGCTATTAGAAATTAGACGAATATATTCATTTAAATTTTATTTTCGACAGGTAAAACAATCAACACACAGTTAGGCCCTGATGGCATGGGTCTTGGCTTTGGCACGATTACTGTCATTGATGATTTCTTGACCTTGGCTCCTGAGTTGGGGTCGCAGCAACTCGGGAAAGCGCAGGGGGTTTATGTCGCAAGCTCTGCTGATGGATCGACTCAGATGATGGCATTTACAGCTGTGATGGAAGGAGGGGAATATGGTGACAGCCTTAACTTTTTTGGAGTGTACAAGATTGGAAGTACCATGTCTCGCCTGTCCATTACAGGGGGTACCGGTAAATTTAAGAATGCATCTGGATTTGCAGAGTTGCGATCACTCATTCCAGCAGGTCAGCATGTCCTTGATGGTGTTGAGGCATTGCTAAGGATCACAGTTCATCTTACTTACTGAAGAGTACGTCAAGTTCAAACCAAACAAGAAGAATGGGTTTGTAATTTCTGTGTATCATTGTGGCAAAGAAAAAAAAAATTACATGCTTTTTCCTTGACCGTATTTTAGAACGGAATAGGGAATCATCCTAATTTTTTACATTTACAACATATTAATAATCTTGCGTCTCTCGTCCGATTTAGGTATCAAATATGCATTATGCATGAGTACAATATCGAATGACAGTAAAACAACGAAATCGTGATTAAAACAACTACATTGAGTTCAAGATTGTAACA